AATTCTGGAGACTTCCATGTAGTGATTAGTTGATAGATTAGTTAGCTATTTTTCTCTATAAATAGACTAGTATGCATTGTAATTTCTCAAGTTGAATGAATGAAATATTCTTCTTCTTCCCTTGCCATTTACAGCAGGTTCTATCCTTTTATTTTCTCAATAGGAACTTCGATTCGAGTCGAGCCTCAACTCTATATTTGCAAGTGAAGAAGGAGAGAAGAGAGGTGGTGGATGGAGGTGGAGGGGACAATGTTGATAGAGAGAGGAGATGAGAGAAGAGAGGTGGTTGTACATGGTTAGGGTTTGAAAATATTAAAGAACGAATTTGATTTTAATCTTTGGTATTGTGCGTTTGGAATGAAATTATTATACAATAAAAAAGACGCTATAATAATCAACTTTTGTTAAGAAACGGCAAATATGTATAATTAAAGAATGAGGTTCTTTATTTTGTAAACACAAACTTGTGATTGTAATTTTGTTGCTAAGAAGCTTCTTTATTTCTCTTTTCAAAGATTTTTGGCGTATGTTTTCTACTATTAACCCTTATCATTATCTTATATAGCCTCTGTTCGAGCTCCTTTTTTGATAATTGATTTTGTAAAAAAATATTTAGAAAATGTATGGTTAAATGATAAAAAATATAGAGAATTTTAGATTTACGTGCAAAAATATTTTATTGAAAATATATGAAATTGAAAATGAATTTTGAAAAAAAATTGAATTTTAAAGAATGGGGTTCAACCAAAAGTCCATTCTCACCCCTTCCCCTCCCTCCCTCGTCTCTCTCTGCCTGCTATGAACGGCGGCAGCGTCGTGTGCAAAGCTTCCGGTGGGACACTGCCATGTGCGAAGCTGCCAGTGGGTGTGTGTATGATTTGGGTGCATGTGGTGGTTTTGTGGCAGGGACGACGATGGTGGTGGTTATTGTTGGTGGTGTGGTACAGGGTGCAATGGTGGTCGTTTTTGTTGACAGTGGTTGTGGTGGGGGTGGTGTGGGATATTCTCTGCGACCAATTATTTGGTTGATTTGTGATCAAGTATTGATGATGGATCGGGAGTGGGGGTGGGGTGTTTGATGTATGTGACCAACTATTTGGTTCACCGTGATTAACTATTAAATTGTGACCTTAAAATTCGATAATTAGTGACTAAAAATATAATATGTGACCAACAAATTTGGAAATGTGATCTCTATTATTTATAATTTTTTTTAACTTGTGATCAATTAAAAATTTGTGACCTATAAATTTTTGGATTACTGACCAATGAAGTCAATTGTAATCTATAAATTATTGATCTCGAAATAATCCATGACCATTTAATTTGATAAGTTGTGGTTGAAAATTAATTTTTAAATAATTAATAAGATATTTGTGACCAAAATGCATATAATTGTGACCTTATTTTAAAAAAAATTAAAAAACCTGATTTTTTGCAATTTTTAAACTTGAAACCTGATTTTTGCATTAGTGAAACTTAAAACCTGATCCATGAATTTTTCCCTTAAAAAAAATCCAACCTTTTTACTCTAATTATTTTTATATTTAAAATCTTCCTGCAATTCCTTTCATACAAACTTTTCGTTTAAATATAAGTATGATATTTATTTAAAAATTTAATGTTGCTATCTTTGTTAAAAATTAGGTATAAAGACCTCGTAGTAAATAGCCGTCTAGAGCCTCAAAGTCTCAAGATCAGCCTTGTGAGCACGCATGGCGTTAAAATGAAGTTTCAATTATATATATTGTATATCCCTACATCTAATTGGATAATTTGAAAGAAAAAGTGGATATTGGTTTTTCTTGGTTCTAAATGAACTATGATTTTTTAGTGCTACATGAACCATAGTCTTCAAGTGAGAGTGAGATGATCTAGTTCTCTCTCAATTAGAAAGACACACATAGGTCATGCGTCTGTTCTTAATTTTACCATTAAAGCTTTGAAATCTATAGCATGTGGCTTAGTGTTTTTATACTCAATCTTATATAAAAAAAACCAGAGACTTAGGATTGTGGCACAGGGGTCGTGATTAGGATCGGGATTGGACCTCCCAATGATGAACAAATAAGAGATCTTGAATTTTCTACATGAAGTAATGAAAACAGAATTTCATTTAAATTTCTTCAAAAGATGAAGCAATATCTGAGTTATGATCTATTGCTTCAACCTGCATCTTATCAGAACATCGACATAATCACTTCTGTTTCATCAACTTTGTAAATTCGAGATTGTAATGAAAATTTCTTATCCTCAGTCACGTAGAATCAGTCTACTGCAAACCACAAATCTATGGTTTAGATGGACATATCTTTTTCTTTTTATTGCTTAATTAAAAAATTCTAAAGTCAGCAGACGGTGAGGACTGGCACTCCAAAGTCAATGTTTTCAAATCAAATTACAATCACGTCACACAAACAAGCTAAAAAAAATGGAAAATACGTGTCGATACATGATTGGATAGTTTGAATAAAAAAAAACCCAAACAGGTACTACCAAATCAGTATATTTTCCTGTCTTTGAGCCATGTTCAATCATCATTACTGATCAGATTATTGTTTTACTTGCCTTTAATTTTTAGAATAATTTTATTGAAAAGTAACCTTTTAGCAATATATTATATTTTCATAAAGAAAATATTAAAAGTACAACTTATATATTTCAACGTTTTCTATAGTCATTTCTAAGTACGTTAAAAGAAGGGAGTTACAGTAAGTTGACGACTAGACTACAACTTTATCAAATCAATGTACATGTAAATCTAATGAATCGGTCCACATTAATTAATGGTCATAACAAAATAAGTAGTCCAGAATTCAGTTAAGAGTTGAGTTATGGCCTCCATCTTTGACTGCTTTTTTCTATTGCTGGATGGAGAAAGTAAATTCATCTCTTTCTTATTTCATTTCGTTGAAAGTAACGAATCACACTAAATTATTTATTTTATTAATTGTATTTAATATTGAACGTATTATTTTAAATTTTTAAGTGACGTGCAATTAAAAACATTTGTCATCTCCAAGTGATAAAAGGGGAAGGTGGAGAAACTCCAGCTTTACTTGAATCTGCCGCGTCGAGAGTTCGAATCCTGAAATATGGATTTGGCCCTTGGGTAAGTGCAAGTGTACAAGTAGTTTTCCACCCTATCCCCTTGGAGGCATAACCTGCGATTTATCTCATTCACCAAAACTTAGGGTAAGGCAGGTGGGGGCCGTCAAGGATGCGACCCATCCCTTTTTTATAGACACACGGTCAAGATGAGTGGCAGAGCTAAAGTTTATATAATGACAGGCAAAAAATGATGAAGGGTAAAAATATGTATATATATTAAAAAATTCAATTTTTTTGTATAAATTAAAGAAAACTTTATAATATTGCAATCCCACCTCCCTTTTGGCTTCTTCACTCGTCTAGATTCTAGATTGAGTACCTTAACATGAAAAACGCATAAATAATATTTCTAGACACAGTCGAGAATGACTTCTTCAAAATCAAAAAGCATTAATGAACGATATTCGTGACCTACTCGATAAACAATAATCGTACAAATATTTGAATTCTTACGCGAATAATAAATTTGGAGGTGGGCTCATTGCATATTCAAACGCCTTTATTTTAGATTCTATTGAATGAAGACACGTGCAGGCGAGCAAACTTCAACTACTCCGTTGGTCCACTCCTACCCTTTCAGATAAACCAACCACTAGACACACTCTATTTATGGACACCAAGCTCGTACTCGAAATGACTGTATTAACCCTCCTTGGTTTTATATACTTAGTTTTATTATTTAAACTATACGAATCGAAACTTGTGATCTAGATTTCATTCACAAGCGACGATTTGATACATTCGTGAGTTCATAAGTTCGAAGATAAATTCAAGAAGTAACAATTATATTAATTATGGTATTTATACTTAAAGAAGTTGTATTTCTTAATATGTATAAGAGAGATTGTTATACAAACATAAGATTGTCAATTGAAATTGTCGAACATTTATTTGTATTAAGAGCGTGTTTTGATGGGGTTATAGATGAAGAATATGCACTAGTTTAAGGTAAAAAACGTACCAGTCAACATGCATGGAGCTTAGGGCCTAAATAATAGAATACGCTATTGAGATAGAACTTATTTTCCTTAAAAAATTGTGAAACGCACAACTTTAAGACGTGAACTTATTTGAACATGCTTTAAGTCTTCCAAATATATTTAACTTTTTTGGACATAGTGTCTCTATATGTTGCACTATGAGATCCCTTAATCATCCACTCTAATCTTAAGTGGAATTCACAAGAGGAAATAAAAAAATTGTCTACATTGGGAAAATCGTTTTTTATGATTAATTTCACTAATTGCAATTGAGGTTCAAGTAAAATCTTAAATTGATTATCAAAGTATTTATTGACTCATTTAGTCACAACAGTAAAATACCGTTACATAATTGATTATTCCGTTAGCCTGTTTAATACCATATTAATTGTTAAATCTTTACATTGACTAGTGATCACTAAAGCGATTGAATCATCCTCGTTAGCCTCCGTACTTTTATTTTTTTGCGATCTTTTTACTCTTTATTAATAATGAAATTAGGATTAGGGTTAAATGAAGCAATTTGAAATTTCTTTTGTCCTTTCCTTTTATAAATTGCTTTATATCTTGAATATATATAATTTCACAACGTGAACATAACGAGGTCGATATTCAACGAGCTAATGTTGACTTTGAGGTTGATGTCATTTAGCAGTTAGCACTACTGCTAAATTAATCAAGATCAATTTGATAGTTTTTCCACGCAGAGGGTATTGTCGTCAATTTAAGACATTTCCAAGGATCTTGCCTGGTGTGCCTTCAAAGTCCCTGGTGCAGCGCGTGGGTTTCCCCAAGAACACGACTCTATAGAATCCAGCCCAAGAAAAGATCCCCACAAAAAAAAAAAAAACAAAAAAATCCCGACAAAAATTAGATCGGAGGAGCGCCGGAGCCTCCATTAGTGGCTTTATGGCGGCGTTTAAATTGTTCATATTTACTGTATTTCTATCCCTAATCCTCAACCACATCAGAGCTGATGCTGATGACCCAATCTCTGTTGTTGACGATGATGTCCAAATACTCAGATCGGATGGCTCTGATTCTGTTTTGATAGAACAACTCAAATCGAAGATCCAAACTCTTGGTTAGTCGGCTCAGTAAATTTTCGCTTTTTATTGATATATTATAAAATCCTTAATATTTAGTTAATGGCAGTTCCATTTTGAGGATCAAGCTATTTCTGTTTTATTTATTTTTAATTTTGAGTTATTGTGAATTATGGGTTTTGACAATTGGCTGTGAAACATTTATGTGACCGTCTCCAATCCATTTCACATAATTTTATTTAGTCTATCTCCAAAAAAAAAAAAAAAAAGAAATAAATAAATTCCCTTTCTTTAAAAATTATTTAATTACACATCCTATTATTGCTAAATTCCCAAATTAAATATATTAGTTAATTAGCTAAATATTGCGTTTATAATAAATTTAAAAAGAATTATGCTTAATATCAAAGTAAAAAAAATACATTTAGGGGTGTTTGAACCCCATTATTTTTTGAGAATGTATTTTGGAATAGTAGATTGATGGATAATGTGTGATTAAAAAAGAATGAAAAGTCTTTTCTTTCCGTGTAATATTTTTTTAACGAAGAATGTACGGTTGAAAATAAGAAAGAAAAATGTATTTTGAGAAAAATAGAAATCAAACATCCCCTTAATATCACAAGATAAAAAATTACATATAATATAAAAACTTTCACAAATAAAACATAAAGTCCAACTACTCTTGAAGGATCCTGAAATGATGTAGCACATACTAAGGGGTTGTTTTCTTTGTATTTTAGTTTTATCTTTTGAATGTCCATTTTGAAATTGTTGAAAATGTGTTCTTTTTGATATTTTGAAAAATTGTTTTGAAAATACCCGAAATGCGTTTTGAAAATTTTGGCTTGATTATAACTGAAAATACCCAAAATGACAAATTTGTCGTTTTGGGCTTTCTTTGTAAATTTTTAACTTGTTTTCAAGAACGCGCTTTCGAAAATAGGAAAGAGAACGCGTTTTCACTGTTTTGGAAAATCGAAAACAGAAAACAGATTGAAAATGATAAAGAGACCATGCCTTAAATTATTGTTTTAGTTTATATTGTATTTTACTTTAAATTTTAGTTTTCAATATTTATGTTGTTTTAGTGCTAATTTCATTTTAATTTGTAATTATCAAATTTGTGTATTTGAATTTTAGTGAGTAATTGTATTTTAATGTATTCGGTAGTCATTATTTATAACTTTATTACAGTTTATTACAAATGTCAATAAAAATAATAATCAAATTAAAACAAATATAACAAAATTAAATCATTAAGGGTGTGTTTGATAGATATTATTTTGGAAAAATGTATTTTGGAATAGTAGATTAATGGAGAATGTGTGGTTGAAAAGGAAGGAAAAGTTATTGATGTAATGGAAAATATTATTTTATTGAAGAATATGCGGTAGAAAATGAGTAGAAGAATGAGAATGAAAATTTTAATGCATACCAAATATGGCTTAAATAATAAAATAATATAATACAAATTAAAATTTGTTTTAATATAAAATGAAAGACAAAATGAGAAATTATTAAATTGTATATATTACACCAAATGAACGTGCGATATGGTTTAGTACTCTAATTTGGTGTGAAAATTTGAAGTCCTGTTGGAGCATTATTTTCAGTTTTTCACACCAAATTGGTGTTTTACTCCATTTTGAAGTTGGATTGGAGATGCCTAAATTTCAATTTGAAGGAACTTTTTGGGAAATATTTGTATAGATTGAGATGTTAACTAATGGACTGAAACAAAATGCAAATATATGCACGGAGAACGAAGATAAGGTCTGAAGTAGTAAGTTGTGGTTGCTATTGTGTAGGTTTAGGCTTGTGGAATTCTAAGGGGTATACACGGGTCAAAAATTGTATACCTTCGTAGGTTCCACTAAGGGGCAAATGTTTCTCCATCAAAATGGTCCCATTTTTGTTGATATAGAACTAACATATACTGCAAAATAATTAATGAATTTTTTCTGCATGATATATATCAGTGTTTGCTTGTATGGTTGTCTGTCATGCCAGCGTGTAAACAAGGTTGATCCTGTGATTTTCGGGGCGGCCCGAGGCGAAGTCCATAAAATGTTGCAGGCTACAATAACCATTCATATAAGCCACCCAGACCACAATTATATAAGCCGACAAGGCTTTAAACATTTTCAATATATTA